GGATTACACACATACATACAAATGAGACAACTATTTCCACTCTAAAAGCTATAGGGAGAATTTAGTGTTTTTTTGTTTGCGGGAGGAAAAACAGACAGCAATGAGAAAAAAACATGCATTAAGTATTTATAAAGAAATACAACAACGTGACAATATGATTCTTTCATTAAAATAAACATTTAATCATAAATTGTGCATTATTTAAAAAAACTGACACAGACAGCTCCTTAATAGAAAAAAATCTTTTTTTTTATCTGCTGGTGAGGAAACCAGTAAGATTTTAAGTGAAGCAGCATAAATAACAAAATTGTTTCAAAATCAGACATTTCAAGGTGAAATTATACCCTCCAACATGTTAATTCACAATACAAATTTAAACTTGTTATGATTTTCAAAACCCCCATCTTMCTCTAACAGAACTTCATTAACAATAATCAATGTAAAAACAACCTTCAGGCAGACGGTGAACAGGCACTAAAAACTGTTTTTTTTTTTTTTAAGAAAAAGGTTCAGTAAGCAAATTCATTTTCAGAAACTTTGTTGACGCAGATACAGTACGTATGTAGTGTGTGTGGGCACGTCCGGTCTTCTTTCTTCGCAGGTTAAAACGCAGGCTTGCTCATGTACTCCTCCATGGTCTGGAAAACAAACGCACAACAAAAAGAAGAAGAAGAAGAAGAAAAGATCGGCTTTTGAGACAATTAAACACACCAAACTAATAATGCGTTTAATCAAGTGCAGGCACACAGCTACAGATCACCTGCTGAGCACAGCAACACACAGTAGGTCACCAACACAAGCACAGCCTCTAACCTGTCTGTCCATATTCAAGGTCCAAACAGCTCCACCTCATACCACTCACTGTGGTCATCCTGAAGCGATAATGGTCAAAATGAACAGGGAGGCTACACTGAACATCATCCAGCCYTAGATTTAAAAGGGTTAGTCAGCCCTATTCGGGAAGCACAGGACAACAACACCCAGTTTAGCGATGGCGCCACACAGACCCATGAGCCTAAAGAGGGAGGCAATGGGAGGGGGGAAGCATCAACCAAAGACTAAAGTTTACGCCAGGGGAATCTGCCGCTCACTGGCAATAACTGTGGCAGAGGAAGAGACAGATGTGCACACACACGAAGGGAGGGAAAACAGAAACATAAGCACTAAAAAAAAGAATTAAAAACACTCACATCTTCATGCCTTCTACAAGCAAAACAAGGGCACGACAGGGATTGAGCAGCACCACTGTTAATGATTCTACCACACACTGACTAATCTACATGTACTAAATAAAACTTCATCATATCAGAGCCTGAGTAATGCTGCCAAGCAAATCACTGTGCACCACTTTCAGATATTTAGATGTCCCACAACCACAACTTCACAGAGAAAGAAAACCAACACACACGGCACAAATGACTTAAATATGTCACTGTTGCTTTAAGGAGGCTGAGGCTTGCAACAGATGTTAGATGTTTACAACGGCGCTGTATTAAAAAATATATTCTGTGTGCATTTGTGTGTGTGTTTGCGTGTGTGTAGGCCTTGCTCAGCGTCCTACCTCCTGTAACATGTCGGAGGATTCGATGGCGCGGTTCACAATCTGTTTAGAGGTTTCTTGGATCTCTCCTCCCATTAGAAACTCATCCAGGATAAAATAGGCCTTCTCAAAGTTAAAGATAATGTCCAGCTCACACACCTGAGACAAGGCATGGTGGGGATTAACATGGCTATCACATCAGGTTAGTGATGTGCACACATTATAAATCATATGACAAAAACATATACAGTTTGTTGTTGTTTTTTTAGCATTACTTCAAATTATAGTTGTACTAAATAAAAACTGAAATACATTTCCAAAGTATTTGTCCAGCAGCTCCACATAGCGGTGAATAACCTCCAGGGCCAATAGCTCATTCTCCTGGTTCTCCACAGCCAAACAGAAATATAAGCTTGCATACCTAAGAAGAAGAGGAGGACACAAAGCTCTTAGTGCAAAGCAAAAACAATACAAAATAGGTGTCGACACAAGTGACGAAATGCTTCCGCAAACAGGCAAATGTGCGTATCACCTCTTGTAAATGATCTTCAGGTCTTTCCACTGCAGAAAGTTGCAGGAGCGTGGTTGCCGTGCCAACACAATGGTGGTCATTTCCCTGATGATCTTCTTTTTTTCACGATCCGTCATCGCCGTGAACCACTTCTGCAGACGCAGCTTCCCCTGGCGACTGAAGAGCAGCAGGAAGCGCATCTAACGACACGGACGTGGTCAGGAAGTAAAGTCATTAAAATCGGCACGGTTAATGAAGAAACACGTGTCGGATCCAGTCCAGCACGCACGCACGCACGCACGCACACACGCACACACACACACACACACACTAGGATTACCACAAAGTTAATGCAAAATAAATTATTAACCAGACACAAACAGAGACATAGGGGCTGAATATTCTGCCTGTTCTTTACATGGCTCGTTTTTATCGAAAGAACATTTTTGAAGACTTATAAGAATAGACAAGAGTTTGTGTCTTTGTAATTTAAAGAACATATTTTAAACTGGAAAAAAATAAATTATGAAACCTAAACTGTCTCTATGTGTGGCCCTGTGATGGACTTGGGACCTGTCCAGGGTGTACCCCACCCCTCGCACTGTGACTGCTGGATATGGGCACCAGTGACCCACACAACCCTGAAAGGAATAAGTGTGTATGGAAAATGGATGGATGGATGGATGAAAATAAATTACATCACATTCTTTGATATATATGGACACACACACACACACACACACACACACACACACGCAGTCATAAAGTTAGAATATCATGAAAAAGTTTATTTCTATCAGTAATTCCATTCAAAAAGTTAAATTTGTATATTATAAATTATTCTTTACATGCAGACTGATATATTTCACATGTTATTTGTTTTAATTTCAATCAATCAATCAAGTCACATAAGCATAGGCGTAAAGGTGAGTGCAAAAACTTGGGTGCAAATTCCTACTTGTAAGATGCAGATCACAATAAATACAAACAAAATTTTAAAAGAAAGTTCAGATAGACTAAAAAAGTTTGAATAGACTTGCGCTATACACAGTAAACTTATACTGTAAGCATACAATAATTCACAGTTGAGTGTACAGATATATTCTGACAATGTAATTATGTTATGGTTATATTTGGTGCATCAAAAGCAGATAGTGTGTGATGGGAAAAGGGGGATCGACAAAGGGAGGTACAACTCCTGAGTAAGATTCAGAGTGAGTTTATGCAGGATGAGGTGTGAGAAATAGTCCAGTAGGAGTGCAGGTGCACACTGTGTTGATTTTAGTGAAATAATGGGATTAATTTTGATGATTATATCAGACAACTAATGAAAACCCAAATTCCGTATCTCATAAAATTAGAATATTGTGAAACTGTTCAACATGAAGACACCTGCCACACTCTAATCAGCTAACTAACTCAAAACACCTGCTAACGCTTTTAAATGGTCTCCCAGTCTAGTTCTGTGGGTGACACAATCATGGCAAGACTTGACTTTACAAGTTACAGGTTTAATGATACCTGTAATGTTAGGAAGTCATTTGACTAACAGAAAACAACTTATATGGCCTRAAAATGAATCCGCAGAGCTTGTATTAAATGTGGAGTCCCTCAAGGTTTTGTTAGGTCCTAAACTTTTTTAATTTGTAGTAATGTTTGTGGAGTCTTAAATGCTACAGTTTCATTTGTTTGCAGATATTTTGTCTRTAGATTATTTAAAAATGGACTACAAAGGGTACAGTGTGTAATATCTAGACTTAAAAAGTGGTTTTATCATAGTAAATTATTTATGAATTAAACTAAATTTCTCATTTACTGAATATTATTAAAAGTACTATGATGCAATTGAAGGAAACCTCTGAATAAAATACCCCAGTAATACACAAAGAGGGTATGGAAACCTAGTATACAATGTCAGTTTGAGGGTTCCAATAACACTGAGGACWGACCAGTGTTTCCACTTAAACAAATCCGAAATCAACAACATGGCATTGTTTAAGTGTTGTAGACAYCAACATCCCACACTAACTCCACATATTTCTATCAAAGAATAAGCATAAAATCACCTGAGCGTGTTCAACCCATAGGCAAATTAAAGGCAAAGCATTACTGCCATGATGGGTGGGAACGTGACGAAACCTGTTTAACAGAATACACCGGTTTAAGGAAGACACACCTTATTTCTGACTGTTCCCTAAACTTCAATATAAAATATCACAAATCCAATAAAAAAGCGAATTCTACTGCTCTTCGGCAGCCCGATAACAGCCAGAAAAGCTAGACTTTTGTTAAAGGAAGTAGCGTAAAAAAGGCGTTAGCCACCTGCAGTCAGGTGGCGACAGGTGAACAGCTAGGCTGACGCTACCTTCCCGGTACGAGCATGCGCACAAACCATTAGAAACACTTACCATGTTGACGCGACGACAAGGGTTACAAACGGTGTAAGGCAGCAAGAAAAACATACAGTTTAACCCTCACAAAGGGTCAAAAGGTCCAGCTGAACACATTATCCGTCAGTCGACAAGTGCAGCCGGGGTGGAAAAAAAACCAAAACGTTTTAACTCCGCCCCTCTGGCTGCCGGAGCACGGACGCGTCATTTGACCTCACGCGCATCTGGATTGGCTCCGTTTCAGATGGGATCTGCTCAGCCTGAAGCGCGCTGCGTAACATGTAAATGAAACGAACTGATAAAACTTTAACTTATCACCATGGGGAGAGGGCTGAAGTGTTATTCCCATGCAGGATCGGTAGGGAGCAGCAAGTGCAGCATCTGCTTCATGTGATCCTGAACTGTCCCGCACAAGGTTTTTCAGGAGGGAGCTGGTGACCTGCAACACTTTGAGGGGTTGCTGCTCACTTGCTGTCATGTCTCTGTACAGAAATGCCGTCTGGTTTTTGAATGGGATCCACCAGTACACAAGGTTAGTGTCACTTTGTTGCTGATCTGCAGTGTGGATGTGATAAAAGACGGATGCTTTATTTTTAAAATCAGTCCTGCAGCAGTTCTGGTGTGTTTGGCGTATTGCATATTTCTATTTGAGTGTAAGTCTGAATGTTGTTTTGCAAAGAGACATCAATGGTCTGATCTCCGTGTGGCACAAATTACCACACAAACTGACCCTTTATGCACACATACAATAGATCTATTGACAGTTTGGTAATGGGACATTACTGCATAACCTCAGTTTCAAAAGAGCTGGGATAAGAGTTGTATAAGATGTAAATAAAGATGGAATACAGTGACTTGCAAATCTCATACACCCATATTTTATTAACAATGGAACATAGGTCATTTTGAATTTGATGACTGTAACACATCTCAAAAATGCTGGGACAGGCCCATATGTTTCCCACTTCCCCACACCTCTTTAAACAACAGTGTACATTTCTAAGAGAAGAGGAGACCAGATGGTGTTTTTTTTTATTTCATGATGCAACAAACACTTTCAGTTGATGAGAAGCCTACACTTCAGCACATGGACTCGTCTACTTTGAGGCCATCGTGTTATAATAGATGCAGCATAGTGATGTCTTGCTGAAACATGCAAGGCCTTCCCCGAAAAAATACATTTTATGGAGTGGAGCATTCTATCGTTTTACTTTTCTGCATGGATGGAGCTCTTCCAAGTGTGTAAGCTGTCCATTCCAGAAAAAAATGAATGCTGCCCTATACCACCAGAGAGGCGAGGCTTTGAATTGTGCACTGATAAAAGAGGATGTGGTGTTTGTGGTTTCCAAAAAGGAATGTCATTTTTTGATTTGTCTGATCAGAAAAATCTGTTTATTATTAACGGTCTATTTTAAATTAGCTTTGTCCCAATAAAGAAAGTTGTGATTCTGGATTGTGTTCACATATGGCTTTTTTTAATTAGTGGAAATGCCCTTTTTGTGATTTCTAGGACATAAACCAGATTCTTGAATATGTTTAATGGTGTTGTGAGCTATAGATGGTGGGATAAATAAAGTCTTGGTGTTTGGGGGTTGTACTAACATTGTCGTAAATTTAGCTCTCTCTTTACTTTGCCACAATCATTGAATAAGCATTCTTTGTGCATTTAGGCAAGGATTCGAGACAGCATCGAAAGACTTTGAGCCAAAGGACCTTGACGTGCCCGTTGTGGGTCGATCCTTTATGATCACCGGAGCTAACAGTGGAATTGGCAGAGCAACAGCCATGGCCATAGCCAAGAAAGGTATTCCAATCTGCTGAGTTGTCTGCTCCATCACATGCCTCACTTTTACTAAAGGTGGATGATTTGTGTCCAGGCGGGACAGTCCACATGGTGTGTAGGAACAAGGACAGAGCAGAAGAGGCCAAATCAGACATTGTTTCTGCATCCGGGAACACGGTGAGTGCGTTTGATTCAAGTTTACGTTAAACTGCTACATGGCATCAGTGAAGGAGACTCATGCATGTTGTTGTAGGAGGTGTACGTCCATGTTGTGGACATGTCTCAAACACGCCAAGTTTGGGAGTTTGCCGAGGCCTTCAAGAAACAGTATTCATATCTGAATGTGTTGGTAAATATCATTCACCCCCTTTCTGTAAAATTTGCAGATTTTTATTGAAACAAAATAAACTTTATAATTTCATCTGACTTTCGTGAATGTTGCGGAAGATCAACAATGCAGGTTGTATGGTGCACAAGCGAGAGCTCAATACAGAGGGCTTGGAGATGAACTTTGCTACCAACACCATGGGTGAGACCCGGTCCTTTGCTCAGAATGAGCCGTGCCTCTAAACAGTATTAAATCAGTTCTATTCTTCTTCTTCTTCTGCAGGGGTCTATATTCTCACTCAGACACTCATACCACTTCTACAGAAGAGTCGGGACCCCAGAGTGGTACAATTTCATGCTTAAGTACACACAAAAAGCGTCTTCATCTGGATCATGAGAACGGCATAATGCCACTTTTGTCCATGCTGCTGTGGCTGTTTTCTTAGCACACTGCTGTGGCTGTTTTGTCCCTGCCTGTTAGATCACCGTGTCCTCAGGAGGCATGCTGGTTCAGAAACTCAGAGTGGATGACTTGCAGTCAGAGAAGGACTACTTCGATGGCGTCATGGTCTACGCTCAGAATAAGGTAGCAGCTGAAGATAGTTTAAAAACCAAATCTGACCGAGATTATATTCTCAAAACAAAGTCAGTTCAGCAGAAGAAGATAGAGGTGAGATATAAATTGGAAAATGGATGTTTCTATAAAAGAATATGTTGTTTCTTTCCAGAGACAGCAGGTGGTGCTAACAGAACACTGGGCCAAAACCTACCCAATGGTTCACTTTTCTGTCATGCATCCTGGCTGGGTAGATACACCAGGTACTGTCAATAAGTCATCAGACAAAAATAAATAAATACAGCTAAGATATATAATAAGTTTGCTTTAAAGATAGCAACTTTTGAATTACGATGTATAAATAGATAAAGGTTTAACTGTAGGGATACACATGTCATTTTGCTTGAACAAGAATGGCAGTATTTTAATAACATGTATGTGAATGTGATGTATTTTCTTATTCATAACTTATCAGAACCCAAGGTTTTTATTTTAGTGACACAAACCAAGCCATTGTGTTTGTTTCCAGCTGTTTCTACATCAATGCCTCAGTTCCACCAGATGATGGGGGACAGGCTACGTACTGCAGAGCAAGGAGCTGACACTGTTGTGTGGTTAGCCCTGTCCAAAGTTGCTGCTAGAACATGCAGCGGGCAATTTTTCCAAGGTGAACATAAGACTTTATTTTTCTTACAAATATAGGTGCTTGTATTTTTTTTTCTTTATCAATGTCAATGAGCTCAAACATCTAGGTTCAACTCCTCTGATTGTTTGTGTTTGCAGATCGTCAGGCTGTTCCGGCCCACCTCCCCCTGGCTTGGACTCACAGTTCTGATGAAGAGATTCAAAGTTTCATAGCTCAGCTGGAGGCTTTGACCCGAGCTGTTCAGTCACAGCATGGAGCTGATCCTAAAGGTCCTCTGGACCCATCCAGACCTGACTTTGTCTAGATTATGTTACACCACATACTGACCAATAAGCGTTAATAAGTATCAAATAATTTTAAAAAACAAAAAAATGGGGCATTTTTCCCCCACACAATTTAATTTATGGTACTATTTTTTGAAAGGAGATATATGACTCCTCTTATAACAAGCCAATGAAATAAAATTAAATATTGGAATTGGAGTACAATTAGAGATGGGATATATGGCTCTTTAAAAGTATCTAAATCTTGAGTTTCCTTTCAAAAAAAATAGTTTAATTTTGAATGTTAGAGACATCATTATGTATTTTTTTGGTGGTTCTTAGTGGTTTTCCACCAAGGGCGTAATCACCATCTTCAAAGCAGGGGGGACAGAGGGTACAGATATTGGAAGTTGGGGGGACATGTCCCACCCTGTACCTATGGCAGTTACGCCCATGTTTTCCACCCTCCTAGACCCCTTTCACATAGTTTTGATGGTTTTTGGTGATTTTTCACTGGATTTTGGTCCACTTGGGCCCCTTTCACATGGTTTCTGACGGTTTTTAGTGGTTTTGGCTGGTTTTCGGCCCTCCTAGACCCATTTCACATGGCTTTTGGTAGTTTTCACTGATTTTCCACCCTCCTATGCCTGTTTCACATAGTTTTTGATGGTTTTTTGGTGGATACATGTTGAAGTAGCCATGCTAGAACTGTACCATGTGACTTGTCAAGCATGCAATCCCCATGTTCCTTCCTTCGTTGTGGAAAAGCAAATAAGTAATGTATGTGTATGCTTCTGAGGAAAAAATAAATTAAATAAAAGCCAAACAGCTCCAAGTTGTCTGTGACTCAGTTCCCATCATTAAAGAGCCGTTCAACAGTTTCAGAGCGTTTGTAAACGTCACATCGCTAAATTACTATAGCTTCAACAGGAAGAGCTGGTTTTAAAGAAGGAAAAAACTAACTCATTGGAGTTGTTGCACCACTTCCCTCTCCTCCTACTGCCTCTTTGGAGAACAAACCTAAAGCTCCGCACTCCACAAACGATCAATAATCCTTGACACACCTTCTTACTGAGAGCATACTATTGTTAGACTAAAAGCCGGTTTAAAGACTGAACAGCAGCATGGGAAGTCTCTATTGCAACAAGGCTTCCATTAATTCAAGAGATCTGATGACTCAGTAATGGTAATGTTTTGAATAATTACAGACACTGTTAAAACTCAAAATCTCTGGACTAATTCTGAGTTTTACAAATTTATATCGATAATAATATTACACTGAATTTTCATTTACTTATTTTTATTTTAGAACCACTGTTATTTGACTGATGCTGTACTCGGTGGCGAACAGAAATTTCCTATTTAGAAAAATAAAGTTACTAAAGGGACATATAGTACAAAAGCTAAAGTATATAGGGCATGCTATATATAAGTTAACCAAATAATTGCAAATAAAAGGCTGATATCAAGACAAAGCTGTTAAAAACACAAGAGTTTAAGTTTTCCTTTTAAACTAACTGAATCTGAATTTCTGACATTAGTGGTCTCTTAACTAAAAAACAAACTGTTCCTCATTTTTCTTTCCATATGTGTGTTGTCCAATTAACAAATGTAAAACAGTAACACCGTTCAGTGACACTCTAGCAACAATACCCATTTTTATTTTCTAACAACCCACATTTTTTGTTGTTTTTAATAACTTTATTTTATACAGTACTGAAACAAAGAAAAAAACAAACAAAAACAAAACATGGTGCATTCACATTTTCCCAAGGGATTCTTTGCAAGTTTGATCTCTACAAGGGTAAAACAGTGAAAAGCTTTTAGCTGGATCTGTCCATGTAAAAACTCAGGGAATAGGAAGACTGGGCCTGATTTAAAAGTTTTCTAAAGGATCTGATGAATTGGTTTGTTTGTTTATTGTCTGTGTTAAGATTTTACTTCCCATTTATGAGGTTTTACCACATCTTTGCAAAAAAAGACAGTGATTCAGGTTCCCAGTCTTGGTCTGTAAAATGAACTTACAGTCCATGCGTAACAACAGTCCAAAGAAAACAACTCTCATCAAGTCTCTTTATTTGCTTTGAGTCCACCTTCTACGCAACGTAGGTGTACACTTTACGATCCTCTGGCGTCCTTGCCAAATAGTCTCTTTCTATTAGTCCCTCTATACGCTTTTTGATTACCACAGGACTGGGAAGGAAGCGTGCCCGAAGCTGCTGAGTCACCTGAAAATACAAAGTGACACAAGAAAGGCACAACTTAACATAAGATGCTGTAGCTCTTTTAAATAACTTTTAGTGCAAGTTAGGAGATGAAGGGAGGATTCCTTATAGAAGAGCAAAGGTAACTTCTACTCTAAATGTGGTCAAAAGTAGAATTCAATTTGGTCCTCAAACATTTAGTGTTTTGAGGAAATAAACCATGACTATTTGCACTGTCTTTTTGGCATCAAGCTGTTTAACTGCAAGGTATTGCACAAGGTGTGTGGAACAGACGGTATTTGGAAGAAAGTATTTTCTGAGTAATTATCTATGTAATCTCACAGGAATCTTTACAAAACTCACTGCTTCTCCAGAATGTGCGAGCCACTGACCATAACTACTCAAGAACTTCACATAACCTGTTTCAAAAAAGAAAAACTATGCGCGAAGTAGAACTGAAATAAATTGAATGAAACTGCTTATTTTGTAAACATCTACCTCTGCAACCAGAACGTTGTGCTGCATCTTCTTCCTTGACTTCATGATTCGGACAATCGCTGCCTCGATTTCATGCTTCCTGTCATCATCCACTTTCTGCCGTGTTTCTTTTCTTTCAGGATCTGATTCTCCTTGTTTCGCAGCAACTAGTAAAGTAGGGTACAGGTGCAAAAAGTTCATGGAGAAAACTTGTAAAACATTTTTTTAAACTGTACTGTACTGTGTACATGACTGTATCTGTAGTGATGCATAACACCCAAATACCAAGTACTTGTTAGAACATTTTAATAGGCAAATATTACAAATTACATTAGCAAAAAATCATTTGGAATTCATAAAATATGCACCACTTTTTTAAAGATACGCTCCTACAAAACCCTTAAAAAGAAAAACTGTTACTAACAGCAGATGATAGAACTTGACTCAAAGAGGTGAAACCTAACAGATCTTCGCACACATTTTACTCACCGGTTTGTATTTTGACTCTGTGAAGCTTGGCTGTAAACTGATCGTTGACTGTAAACACATGTCCGTTCTCAATCTCCTTGGACTTCGGCTCTTTTGTGAGAACTCGCTGGGTGGGTTTCCCACAGGCCAAAGACTGCAACGCTCGCACCAGCTCTCTCTCAGGGATATCAGTCTCCTGCTGAATCTCCTGTTGAAAGAGTTAAAACAGACAATAAGGAATAAAAACACACACACACACAATAATTAACAACAGCATTATGACTAGAAGCAAAAAAAACAGCTTTTTAAAAGTGGCTCCTGCGGATAGGCAGGATTTAGTCGTTAATTAAGTTAAGAAGATATGGCACCAGGATGGGACAGGTTGATTGCTGCAATGTGATTCTGTGGGTACATCTCTGCTCCTGCCATAAATATGGATGCTACACTCAAACATATCTAAACACTGTTGTTAACTAAATACACCTTTTTGTGAGAACAGCTTTTTTGAACAGAAGGATGTACCCCGACACCCTGAAAAATCATTTAGAAAAGCTTTGTGTTGTTGACTTGAAAGTGGGTCTGGAGACTTTGAGACCCTATTAAATATTAGGCAGGTGGTCGTAACGTTATGCTTGACTGGCGTATAGAGAGAAGCGAAATGCTGAATGTGCTCCCACCTCAAAAGTGCACTTTTCTCTGTTGTTGAAGAGCATGAGGATGGTCATCTGGAAGGTGGAGACCTGCAGGATGTGCTTTCGGGTGTTTGAACCTGTGACCTGGGCTCCACCTAGACCCACCTCCGAACCATCCTCCTGTGGAAAAGGAAGACAAAAATAGGACTCTAAACCAAAAAAACAACAACTAATCTTTTAATATGGTAAGCTGTCTTAAAGATCATTTACTAAAGCGGCACCCTTTAGTGTTTTTGTACCTTTTTAATAGCTCCGTAGAAAAGTGCATTTAGGTCCGCCGCGCCCATGTGGTGCTGTAGTGTCAGTTGTCTTCCACTGTGCTTAGCGAGGTAAAACCTGAAAAATAAAAGTGAAATAGTTCCAAGTACATACATATAATACAAAATAACAAGGCTTTCTGTTATATAGCAACACCCCCTTTAGTTCGCAGTATTTCTTACCTTCTGAAGACTTCAAAGGCATGTCTGGGAGCAGGGGGGATGGTGCATTTGGGTGTTGCAGACTGTGTAGGCCAGTAACCAGTGGTGAGGACCCTAACTGTGAGGTCCACACCACTCAGGGATGCCTGAAAGCAGGGTATGGTTTTACGTATCGGTTAGAAGATTCTGTCATGCAGTAAAATGTTGTCGAATTTCAGGTCCACATTAGTTTCAGAACCGTCACAGGTATGAAAAGCGGCAAATTATTTCTTGAAGTTCATAAAACCTTTTGTTTGACACAACTTGATGAAAAGCAGCAGCTAAGTGTAGCATCATTTAAAGGCTGCTGGATATTTTTATTCATCACATTCATGCAGGTTTTTAAAACGCTGTTTTGAATGAAAATGTTTTGCATAGCATGAAATTTGCTGGGGGTGTGTTTACATTTGACTGACATGTATTTTACTTTGAGCACTTGTTGAACAGGCAAGTATTACGGCAACATTTTGCTATATTTTGAAATCCTTCTATTTTGTCCTCATTTGTCTGCTTTTACGTTAAAAATGGGAGCAACAAACAATTACATGTAATAGAATTTTGACCCAATCAAGTGCACGATGTCTGTTTTTTGTGTCTTACCAATGTCTTTTGTATATGTTGTCTGAACTCATCCATAGTAGTGTTGGAGATGCTCATATCTCTGAACATCCCTTCCAGTTTTGAGGTGAACTGACAGCCACATTCTGTCTGTGAGGAACAACGGTGGAGAAAATGAGCCAAAACTGTCAAACAAGACATAAGGGCTTGACACACGGGCAGCGACAAACTACAGCGATGAACGGCTGTCATCGCAGCCAGGGTGAAACCCGACACACGGGACGCGATAGTGATCGCAGCGTTGCGAATCGTGCTCTCAGATCGCTTGTCTTCACGAAATTTGATTGGTTCTTGACTCTGAAGGCGGGTGTGCATTACGGACGTGTAAACTAAACAAATCTTGCGATGCTAATGATATTGAAAAACAAACACACATCAAGATACAGTTTTACGAGGAAAAACTTACCATAAACGTCACTCTGGTGCCAATAAATTCCCACAAAGCTTTTTAGTAATCACTTGGTGAAAGTGTTAGCTAACGGCAGTGTGTAGCATACTCTCCTCTCATTGGTCAGTCAATGAAACCCTCGCTGATTGGTTGTACGCTAAGCGACAGCGACAAAAGTTGAACATTTTTCAACTTTCATATGTCGCGTCACAAGCTTGCGTGTGCACGTCTACGTGTACGAGCGCGAAATTTCACATGCACTATTTTCGCCGGTCGCTTAGTAGGAGGAGGCAAGCGATTGTCGCCTCACCGCACAGGCTCCATAGGAAATGAATGGAGAGCGAGCGACGTCGCCTCCCGTGTGTCGAGCCCTTTAAACTGAAACAGTATAGAAGAAAAGTAACAAAAACAAGAGCCAGCTGTTCAGAAATGTTTGAAATGATTTACCTTTAGCTTAGAGATCATGTTCTTTTCCAAGTCATCTGAGACACTCTTGTTGCTGAGAAGCCGGCGGCCCAGATGCTGTTTGTAGTACCTTTCAAAAACATCTTTCTCCTGCATGAACCGGAACAACACCATGGCCTTGTCAAGAATCAACTCCACCTCCTGTTCTGACAACTGCTCAAACAAGATGAGAAAAAAATAAAGAAAAAGATCATGTCAAATAAAAGTATGACTCTAAAAATACACCAAGTTCTTTTGTTCTAAAGTCACATACCCCTCTCACTCCCTTCAGCTTGTCATCAATAAAAAGTGACAAGTACTCTGGCGAGCGGGAGTTGAGGTTGAGAAAATACTCAAAGTCTCCCGCAATGGTTTGTTTAAAGAGTCTGTCATTGTTGAAAGACTCGAGGAGAAAATGATCAAATCGTGTCTTCAAGTCTAGCAGACCCTGTTGAGGAAGCATCAAGAAAAGGATGTCACAGTGAGGTGTCTCTCTTACAATCTTAAGCACACTTCCACATCAGGAAGTCCTTAAAAGGATTACTTGTTTTGTACTGGCAATGTTTAGCGAACATACCTGAATGTAGTCAATGGGGTTCTTGCCCTCTCCTTCTTCAGACACCAGAGCTTTGCCTTGTTCCCTCAAATACGAGCTCATACACTCGCACATTGTTTTAAGGCCGTTTGGTACGCGAGTGAACAGCTTGTACATGCACGCCAGGTCTGAGGGGAAAACACAAAGACAAAACATGCGTTAGTAGTATGAAATTAAACCAATTTATAATGAGAAAACTTGCCGTTAAAAAGTTCTTTCACCTTCCGTCTTGCTGTTCTTCAGCATATGGACCAAACCAGAATTCTCCATCTCCACAATGGTTTTCATGTGTTTAGAAATCAGCTCCCTTTCCACTACCTTGACAATGGGCTCTTCTGTAGACTTGTCCAGACAGTGCATTACCCGCTCGATCTCTTCATTGATCCTGGCTTCTACCTTCTTTATGTAGACGCTGGCGCTGTTTTCTGCTAAGAACTTTTGGCTCTCCATCTAAACGAGATTAAACATTGTGCAATATTATCGATCTTTCAGATCTGGGAAAAAAATGATTAAAAAAATAAATAAAAAAACAAGGAGCACAAAGCAAGCCATTTCAAACATACCTGGAAGAATTCAGCAGACATTTCTAAGAAAGGGCACTCAAAGTCTTCTTCATACACAGATCTACCATCCAAACCAAGAATCATCAGCATCTGGCAGGCGTTTCTGATGGCACCCCTGAGAATTACGGTGGATAAATAAAGATCAAATTAGATTATCTTCGATGACTCCCTGACACCAAGTTCTCAGTTCACCCAACACATCGGACATCTTAGAGCAACCTTCCAGTGATCGCAATTTAACCAGCTCATCTAGAACTACAAACGCATACCTGTCTACAACCTCCCCCTTCCTTTCCCGTGCAATCATGTCCAGCAGTGTCTGTCGCAGGTGGTCTCGAATGCAGCCGTAGCGCACCACCTGGTCCCTGAATATGATGAGGCCAAGGTTGTACACGTTCTCCACACTGTTTTGTTGCACATAGACCCGGTCCTAAAAGAAGTGGAAATGGGGAGGAGGGGGGTGGTATTCAATACACAAAAAAGAAATTAAAATCTGGCACATAGTAAGTTGCATCATTTTTTTTGTTTGTTTGTTTGAGTAAAGCAAACATTCACTGTGAAATCAGCTTAGTGAAAAGTTTTTAAGTTGAAATTAGCACAAATACAGTTTCACAGTACAAGACTCTGGGATGTGTGTTTTAATGAAGTATTGCTGTAAAAAGTATTTTTGATACAAACATCTTTTTACACTGTTTTTGAACTGTAGCACGCCAGGAATCCTTGGAACCAATGCAGGACTGATATCAGAAGTTATGTACCAAAAATACTTAATTTACTTTTTTTTGTTGTTTTGTAACTTCATCTTTTTCTCAGTAGGTTGTCATTCCGGCAATTATACTGCACAAAACATATTTTCCCTTTCATTATTAATAAATAAACCTGCAACAGGAAATATGTGAGCCATCACATTGAAACGAGGATTAAGTCTAAAAGTTGTCTGTGGAGAAATAGGCAGATGTAGTGTTTTGATTAAAACACTTGCAAAAATTACATTTTTGTCAAAATATAACAAATAACTGTGTTTTCAATGTATCATTTCAATGAACTGTCTTAAATATTATCCTAAAATTTTTTTGAAGCACTTTTTTGAGCATTAGCAAACAAAAACCCAATTTTGAGGAAAAACACCTTAAAATGTTGAGATTTTCCCTGTGAGCTATCAAAACTTTTGTTTCTTTCCAGTTGGGAAAGCTCAATATTCAAATACTATTTGAGGTTTTTTATTTTTTTTCAAATGACATAAAAATCCTCATTAAAATTACATAAAATTAGGATCTAGAATTATGTATTATTGTAACCAACAAGACAAATTAAATAATATCTCTGGATCTACTAATGATATCAGGATGATCTAAGTATTAAAATGTAGCTTTTAAAGCAGGAATCTGAAAATATGATTAGGTAATTTTGAGCAAATTTGACTTAATCCTCAGTGCGATGTGATGGGTCACATATATTCACAACTAAAACAGAGCACAAATATAGACATTGTTGTGAACATCAATGTACATATTTTAAATTGAAAGTGAATTATTTTCACTCATGACATTTTTATATGTCTCATAATGTGGGAAACCACACAGACAAGCAGAGTCTCTTTTCTATCTCCATACTCAGCTACAGCAGCAAATATAATCCCATCATTTTTTATTTGATCCTTGCAAAACCTGCAGATAAATGACTACTCTGCTCAGCAGTGGCCCAGCATAGGGCGAACTCATCCACCAGTCAAAAAAGATTAGTAAATTCATTACTGGTTTTCCATGTTCACATACAGTATTAAAGTATCCTTAGGCAAGAACCTGAATTCCACATTTCCCTGAACGCAGACATCATATTCAGTCTGAATATTGTGGTGGAATGAGGTAAATATGAGCAGAAATAAAAATGTCATATAAATGCAAATAATATTTTTTTAGTGGGCAACAGAAGAAGAAGAGGCATGGAACTAGTGCTACTAATATATTGTTTCCATTACACCTCAGTAGTCAAAGTAATTAAGTACCAACAAGGGAGAATAATTTCACTCAACTTAAAGATAATACTCAGAGTGGGGTGGGGGGGTTTAATTTAAACATAAAAATGCAAAGAGACACTGACAACATGAGACAAATAGAAATATTGTTTTATAGTTTGTATTTGTAGAATACATTAACAGTAAAAATGCCTAAATCTTATCATATAGTCTGAAAATTTCCTTTGGACTTTAAAAAAAATCATATCCTGACACCTAATCTTTGTTTTGTTTAAGCCAATTAAGCTACAACATGGTATAATTTTAACTTATTTTTCCAACATATTTCCTTTTCACTTCCTCATACCAGGCTTGAGGACGACACATTCTGACATAACATCCTTCCTTAGTAAACACCTATTATTGTGCATTGAAGACATGCACGCTGTTTATTTCTTGGCTTACATAAAATGTAGGTGGATATCTTGTTCTTGCTAACACAGCAAAGACATTTTTGGAGCAAATGATCAAACTGAAATCATGAACGATGTCAATTGCGTATTTTGATAAAATGCAATCTAAAAACACAACCCCTGAAACACCACGTTGTGCTGTTGGCACTACGTGATGAAACAACAAGACCAGCCATTTTTTCTTTGAAACAAACAAATTAGGAAACAAAGCCTCATTGTTTGGTCCACAGATAAATTCAAACTTTTTTTTTTTACAAAGTCCAGAAAAGGATGCAGAGGGAAACACAAAGGACATTTCTTATAAAGCACACAATAATCTATGATACTGAGAAAAATAAATGCTCTTTTACCATGTACATAAGGATGTCTCTGATCATAACCATGGCAGTCTGATGGTCATTCCAAGCCTGGTTCAGTGTTTGCAGAAAATTATTATTTAAGGAGTTTAGAACATCTTCCCGCACCTGAAAAGATCAAGAGACAAATCAAGTAAGCTCTAGGGACTCAGACAACTATCTATAGTTTGCATATTATTATTATTATTTACTTTGTTGATGAGGTGCTCAGTGACGACCTCCCTCAGACCCGTGTAGAGCTTTTCTCCATGTTTGTGGAGAACCATGGTGTAGGCATTCCTGTAAAGCTCCTCAAAGCTCAGTCCGCTGTTGTTCTTCCTCTGAATCTCCTGGATGGCATTCTTGAGAAGGTCCCAGATGTTATTTACATATTTCTCATCCATCGTCATCTACAGGACATAGAAGAATGAAGGTCAGACCGTTTAACCACATTCTAAAAGCTAATTATCACAGTAATATTTTTTAAAGATACACTTAATAGGAGCTTTAAACCTATTGTTGAAAAATAGAATTGAAGGATTAGATTTACAAAACATTCTAGTAGCATAGAGTCACATAATTGTTTAAAGCTTAATGCAAATAGAGAATCTCAGGCACAATTTGATAGATGATGCGTGTACTGATCTATAAACGAAATGTAGGACTGGTTCATGTAATAAAAAAACAATAACACTGAAGTTTTCAAATGTTTTACACAGAATGTATTAAAACTGGTCGGATTTAAATACTCTCCAAAGTAAATCTGATGAGTATGATGGAAATACTCTGGGCTACTTTGGCCTAAATATGAACTTGAGCTCAACATGTGAGCGAATGTTACTTATGTAAACTCAGCTACCACCTCTGATCCTCTCATACAGACACATACACCTGAAAAATCAAACTAAAGGCAAAGGGATGCTTTACACACTTGGTACAATGCAGATATATGTGCTCAGGTTTACTGAAACAATACAATGGAATTCACCCCCCAGTAAGTGTGTCAATAAAAATATAATGCGTGAGACAGTAGAAAGAATACCACAGATGATCACCTTAACATTGAGGCTGGTCCACTCAAGCATCATTGTCTTATGAACCTTTTAATAATAATGCTAACAAAGCACATAACATGACATGACATAATGATGTACAACCTGTCAAAAGCTGTGACTGACTGCCAGAAACTTGGCTCAGTCAGCTTGCAGGCCCGCTACTTAACAAGTTTTTTTCTTTCATTACATTTATGCCAACATTAGCTAATGACGAGCACTGCAGATCTATTTAAACAAATAAACCCGAACATCAAACTGAAGCATTCAAAAAGCTACTGCCCCCAGGCACCAAAGCTTTCCCTCCGACAATGACGTTTCATCGGCTGAGATGCTAGCTAGCTGCTAGCACAAAGACCTGCCATCTCTTCGAGTGTCACAATGATCGTCCCTTCACATGCAGACTAAATAAACGCTTACAGGAAAGGCTCGTATCCTCATCTTGGTGTCCTTCTTGGTGCCGCCTTTAAGGTTGGACATGATTACTTAGAACGAGTCGTTAAGTGGACATAAAGACTACATGAAAGACGACCGCTAGTTTGCTGGGCTCGCCAGGAAAACACTACAGAGAAACTCGGTGACCCCCTGTAAGGGGATTGGGTCGGTCTCTGTGTTTCTGGGGCTGCTGTCACTTGCTCTTCTGAGTGTGTTTCAGCTAATGTTAGCTTGTGTGCGGTGATGGCGGCCAATCTCCACTGCGCAATCCGAAAGTCTCGCGAGACTTCACAAGACTCCACAACAACACGGACAGGTGCGTTCCACAGGTCGAGACCCGTTGACCTCTCTTTTCTTTCCGAGCAAATGTGTCGTTATTTAGACATTTTAGCTAATAATTGTTAGGTTTTTTAATCGTTTATTTGATTTACTATACAACAATTTACATTTTAAAGTATTTATAACACTGAAACGGCCTTTTTCCCCCACAGTTCAGCGTTGGTGCCTTCCAATTATTGTAGTGTTCGTTTGCAAACTATTTCATCATTTTCAAGTGTTTCCTGAGGGGCTAAAACCAAACGGACAGGTGAGTCTATTGTTTTGACTGTTTGGGCGTAAATACATACGTGATACGTTCTAAAATGTTTGTGGGAAATCAAATTAACTACTAAACAAATACAAGAAAGACAAAAGTAGACACTTATTTAGATTAATTAAATCAAATAACTCAACTACAACATTGCATACCTCTTCATTCCTCCTTTTCCTCTTCATGGTTTTTTTGTTTGTTTGTTTTTGTTTTGGTTAACGTCTTCAGCTCTCTCTGAGCTCTATTCTCTCCAACTCAAACTTTCGGGCATCTAGTTGCCTAGCAATGATCATGGGTATTTCAAAAATATTCTGGAACTGAGTGCAAACCTCTTCACTTTCTCTGAGTTTATTCCAGACATCTAGTAAACTCTCATTTCTCACTTAAGGTTTTACCTTTCAGCTCACATACACTCCTGATCAAAATCTTAAGACCAGTCAAAAAAGTGCAAGAATTTGCGTTTTGCACTATTGGATCTTAAGACGGTTCTAAGTAGAGCTTCACAATGTTAAAAGAAGAAATCAGTGCAAGAGACAAGAACTTTTGAGCAGGGAATTTTCTGAAAACTGCATTTACACTCAAACATGATTTTTTTCAGCTGCTCAAAAGTTTAAGACCATAGTCTTTAAAAGCCAAAAGCTTTGCAAAAATCTGGATTCCATGTCATTTTCTGTCAAGTCTTTACACTGTCAAGACCTCCTGATGGCAAAAACAAAAAAGCTCACTGACTTTGAACGTGGTAGGATTGTTGAGCTGCATAAGCAAGGCCTCTCACAACGTGCCATCGCTGCTGAAGTTGGACGCAGTAAGACAGTCATTTTGCATTTTTAAAATGATCCTGAGGGTTATGGAACAAAAAAGTCAAGTGGTAGACCCAAAAAACTTCACCAGCTCTGAGCCGCAGGATCCGATTGGCTGTCCATGAAGACACGGGACGATCCTCTACCCAAATTAAGGCCATTACTGGTGCTGACTGCAGCCCARTAACCATCAGACGGCATCTGTGAGAGAAGGGCTTCAGAAACAAAAAACGTCTTCAAAGGCCACGTCTTCTTCAACGCCACAAAA